GATCCGGAATTTTCATCGTCGGGATCGTGATGACGCCTAACATTTTACTTACTAGCAGTGGCGGAGCCATAGTTTTTATTAAGGGGAATCAAAATATAAAGAAACAAACTCATCAAGAAGTCAAGGGGTGTCATTATATAGTATATATACATATTTTTAAAAAAATTACCGAGTTAAACCGTATAATTTTCCGACCAAGGGGTGTCGACACCCCTTGGGTACATGTGGTTTCGCCACTGCTTACTAGGCGAGCCAACGTTAGAGATCATTAAGCCAAATTCTTATGTTTTTCGGTGATAAACATCAATATGTCATAACAAGGTAAAAAGAAAAGCGCGAAAATCGATAACAACTTTAATACTTATATACAGCTACCCAGAATCTGGTGTTACAATCCACGAACTACTAAGATTTAGCTACAAGTAAGGTGTCTGAAGGAAATACAACTGTTTTCGATACAAATGAAACAGTAAAGGAAATGCATAGAAGGGAATGTCAGGGCCTGCGAATGCCAACAAGACTACCTTAGGTCTCCAAACAGATCAAGCTAGCAGCTAGACTCAGGGTCAACTCGGTCCGGTACCAAAATCTACACAAAAAGTGTAAAGTACAGTATCAGTACAACCAACCCCATGTACTGGTAAGTGTCGAGTCTAACCTCGGCGAAGTAATGACGAGGCTAAGACAAGACACATTAATAAACCTGTGTAGTTAAACAATATACAAGCACAATAACAACTACCAGAAGCTGAACAAAATAATAACGGGAGGGGAAATATGTTGAGGGGAGTACAAGATAAAGAAAATTGTAATAGAGAAGAAACCACAACAGACAATATGCTTTGCACCAATGAAAGTATTAAACACAGTAAAAACAAGTGTATGACATCATCCTTCGTGCTTTTACTCTCAACCTCACCATAATAATTAACAGAAAGGGCACAGCATCACCCTTCGTGCATTAACTCTCATCCTCACTATATAAACAAAAGAAACGGGACGGTATCACCTTTTGTGTAATAACTCTCACT